ACGTGTGCTCTTCCGATCTCTCTACTTCTTTCCCATTCTCTCTGTTTGAATGTCTGTCTCGATTATATCATCAATAATTTTTAAACATATGGGTATTAACATGCTATTTACATTGCGTAATTTTAATAATAATGTATTTAGACATTCCAAAAACTATTTAACGGACAACTAATGTTACGTATGTGTGCACATATGAGACTAAAAATTGGAAAATAATATAAATGTCTCTTGTCGCGTAAGAGATCTCGAGATCTCAGAACTTGAGTATCCAGATTTTAAAATCGGTTTGATCGCAATCGAATACTTAAATCGATATTATATTTATAATAAGTGCCATTCGATTTTTTATAGATTTAGATTTTAATATAGTTTAATCAACAGTTCCATTGACATAAGCTATCTTGATGTAGCTTTGTTAAAATTTTTCAATTAACAGTTATAAGAATAATTGATCCTCTATGTACGTATATAATAGTAAATAGGGAATAAGTGACGGAGACAGAGCAATAAACAGAGTACCTAAATAGCGACCTTAACTATTATTTGAAAAATTTTATTTGACATTAAAAAGATTAAGTAAAAGATATAAAATTTCTTCTTTTTATTTTAAATTATTTTTATTATTATTATTAGAGCTTTAATATTATTTCATCAAAATTGTTTGTTTCCCATATTTTTATTTTTTGTTAAGTACGTTACTTTTTATTAATGTATAGTTTAGATACTAAAATTTTCTTACATACATTTTTAATATTACTAATAGCCATCAATTTGTAGTCATGTTACGAAATGCCATAAATAAATATAATATGTTATGTAAATTTTGAATGTTTATTTTTGTGCTATTATTTTGATGTTTCTTCTTAAGAGATATTGATGCCAATTTTTCAAAAACGGAAATTTTCTAAAAATACATTTCAAATTAAAACAGTGTTTTAATTGAAAAAATACTGAAGATATCGAAAGTATCGTGGCGATTTCAAGAAATTGTCACGAAACCGCCGCTAATCGTACCATATTTCAAACTTATAAAGTATGAAATTTAATAGTGAATTAACGTTATAATGCATGTCAAGTGTCTACTTCAAAGTTTTGTCAATAAACTCCGAATGAATATCAATGTCACACGAAAGAACAGATAATAATTGAAACACTGATCTGTAACTTGCTCGTCTTTAATTTGATGATTCGTTACCTCGTTTATCTTACTTCACTGCGCCGTTCTGTAAATTCAACTGCAAATGAAATTCCGGACTTACGACGTATAATATCATTTCAACAAATATTAATCTAATCAAGATAACACAGAATAATGATAAGATAATAGCACACAGATCGTGAAGTGTGAATGCAAGTAACTGAATATATGTATTTATCATTTCGATAGTTCGAAATGCTAACCTACTTCTACAAACACAATAAAAAGAATAAAAACAGTTATTTTTCCGATTTTTATAAGCTTACATAATAAAATGTAAATTTATCGATACTATTCAAATGAATCTATTTAGAATGTAGATAATTACCACATTTGTTTTTTTCCTCTATATGCCTGTCAGATCACATCAATGTGAAGGTCACTTAATTCAATATACTTAGTATTAAGTGTTTATTACATAAGCATAATCACAAATAGATAAAATTTATTAATACCTCGCAGGAGTAGAACGTTAGCAGAGCACACTCCGTTTTCACTGTGGATCGATTGAACAAACAGAATACAATAGAAATAAGATCCTGTGTCAATCGATATTTTCTCATAAACTATGAATTTCCGAGAATCGTAAAAAAATAGTAAAATGCAAATCATGTGTTACGAATTTTGTGTTGTTTAGTGCAAACTATAGAAAAAAAAGTTTAAAATTTAATATTCTATTTTGTTTAATACTGATAAAAAACTGTTTGTCTTGATATTTCAAATTTACAATGGTACTTGCAGAATTAATCGGGGCTTTTGTCATTGCCTTGAGCATTCTGTATATTTATTATAAATTTGTGATATTTAATTTTTGGCAAAAAAGAGGTGTCTTTTATGTTAAACCCGTCGTACCAACTGGAAATGTAACGAAACTTGTAATTGGAAAAGTGCAAGTAGGCGAGTATCTTTATGTAATATTTATATGCACAATATAAACATATATTAATTTTCTTAGATACTTTCATATTTTTTTTAAATTACATCGAATACAATTGGAAAAATAAATTAATATTTGAAAATAAAAGTGTTAAACACACAAAATTTAATATCAATACAGTAAATTATAATTATTTATATGTATGAAATTTTTATTAAATATACTACTATATTTTATCACTTGTAATTCTGTTGTAATTCTGTCTTGTAATTATGACTTACTAGATATTATAAATATAAATTACTAGATATACATAATTATTTACTATTTTCTCCATTTTTATAAAACCAATAATTTACATTAATATTGTTAATGAACTTTTAATTAAAATAAAAAATTAAATAAACAAAATTGTAAATAGGTGTGTTCTTCCATGATGCCTATATGAAGTATAAGGATCACCGCGCTTTTGGAATGTATACACTTTTTAAACCAAATTTGGTAGTTGCCGATCCTGATCTCATTCGAGCGGTGTTAACAAAAGAATTTAGAAGCTTCCATGATCGCGGAATGTATAATAACGAAAAGACTGACCCGTTTTCCGGTGGTTTGTTTTTTATGTCTGAAGAAAAGAAATGGCGGAATATGCACATTCAGATGACACCCATTTTTACTTCAGGAAAAATAAAACAAATGTTTCCGATCCTGAAGAAATGTAGCGAACAAGTCGTAAAGTATCTGGAAAAGAAAGCACAGATAAGAGATTCCGTTGAAATGAAAGATATGTTTGCAAGGTAAATTGTTTTAAAAAAACTGTCATTTAAACGGAGTTTTTTTAATAAAGAGTATTAGACATTTTTTTATTTGAACATAAAAATTGTTAGCATAATAGAAAATAGAGGTATAAATATAAGAATAAATAGCATCCTTTTATAAAGAATTTTTATATGTTAATTTGGCACATGCAGAATGTATTATTTTAATTTTTGACATAAGTAACACGAAAAACGATTAGATTTATGTTTAAGATAAAAAATGTTTAAAATAAAAGTTATATGATATGAAGTGGGGCAATTAATTGTAAAATCAATTTCCGTAAAGAATTAATTTTTCATAATCACATACAGATTCGTTATTTTTTTTAAATTATACTTATAATTTCTTTACATAATATGGATATTCTACATATAAAAATATTAAAGTTTATTAAAGTATATTAAAGTAAATAAAGACTTACCAAAAATTAATAGTATATATTTACGGGATACTTTATTTATTATGGCATGTTTCGTGAAATATAAAATATCTCGTAACTTATTAAATTTTTTATAACTCAGTTTTAATACTTTTATTTTGTATAATTAGAAGAATTATATTTCGTAAAAAGAATAACATAATTCATATAAAAATTGATGTTCTCATTATTTGTTCTTATCGTACAAGTTTTATCCTAATATTAGCTTAAAGTTTTGGTACACAATTTCTAAATTATTTACCATAGATACTTAAATATCTCTATAGCTTTTTAAAATATTTAAAATCTTTTGGATTTTTCCACTTTCTCGTGCTGTCATTTTCAAATCTTCTTTTGAATATCGTTTGTGCCTGCAGTCATAATACGTCTTTGATACAGCAATGTTTTATTTTTAAAAGATTATTCTTGCATTTTTAACTTAATATAGTATTGGTATAGTATTTCTTAAATTCAATAAAATCTTTGAAAATTTATTAAATACTATTTATCAATTTTTTAAAAACAGATATGCAATGGACGTGATTATGTCAGTAGCTTTCGGTGTTAAATCTAACTGCATTGAGGAGCCAAATAACGAGTACCGAATCCAGGGGAAAAAAATTTTAGACGGAAATACATTTTGGATTGCCTTATTTTTGTTTGTGCCTCAAATTATGGATTACTTTTCCATCCCCCTTACGGACAGAAAAGTCACCAGCTTTTATACAAATATATTTCGAAAAACTGTAGAATACAGGCAAACTCATAATATTGTCAGACATGATTTTATGAATATGCTCATACAACTCATGAAGGGCTACACTGCAGACAACGACAAGAACAAATCATGTTAATACAACAATTTATGTTTATTCTTGTATCAGTAGCTTCTGTAAAGCTTCTTCACGTGTCATAAAAATGTAGACATATGTTACACCGAATTGCGATTTTGCAAACCAAATAGTTAAAATTTATTTTCAAAATGTTTTTGCATAAGATTATTAAGATGATTAACACAATTATATGATTTTATTTATCTGTAGAAATTGTAAATAAACTTACTGTGGAGGAAGCTACTGCGCAAAGTTATGCCTTCTTCGTAGCTGGCTTCGAAACCTCCGCAACGACAGCAACATTCGCTCTGTACGAATTAGCTCTACATCAAAATATACAAGAAAAAGTGCGCAAGGAAATCGATAAAATATTGATGAAATATGGCAATTTAACCT